TTTTATCGTTAAATTTATTTTTATTTATTAAATTACTATAATGAATTTATAATAACTTTGCTTTATTTTGATCCTGACTCAGGAGGCGAGTACACTTACACTTACAAACGTAGAAATTTGCAAAAAATCTGTGGGCTCTGTGGGTGTTGACTACACCCGTCGTCACCCATTTTCGTAAGGATCCTTGATGACGTGCTGCATGCGTTTCCATGCGTTTCCAGGTTTCTTGCATCCTCGCAGGGGTCACTTGCATCCCAATGGTAAATGATCGGTAACTTTCCTAGTGAGAAGCATTCACAGTTTTCCTTTGCTTTCATTTCGATGTCATTCCGCCTGTACCTTACCTCACCATAGTAATTTACCTGTAATATACCTAACATAGATAAATAGATAGCCTGCTATATATTTAAGCTTAAAAAGTAGCACAACCCCTCCCATTTTTATTTATATTCCCAATTTAGGTGAATAGGAAAAAGAATTGTAGCTGCTTGCCTAGTCATCAACAATCATGCTGTGCAGCGTGGTTCCAGTACATAACATCGTAATTCTTGTTTGACCGTAAAAGACACAATAACGCGGCGAACCTCTTCTTACAACTCCAGGTGTATGCAAAATAAATCCTCTTATGTCCATCCAAAGTTCAAATATCCAATGTTTGGGTGGATGCAATTATTTAAGCCCAGGAAACCTTTAACACATGATAAGAAACTCGGTCAAGTAAATACGAAAATAGTGATAAACATTCCACGCTGGAGATGCTTCAGCGAAAGCTCCTTATGTATTCGAAATTCGCTGTTACTTCACATCTACAGTAAGTGATAGGCAATACTTTTGATCTGTGATTATCATTCAGTGTCTTTCAAGAATAATTCGCAACCTTGTGTTCCTCTAGTACACGTGTTTCGGTTTGTTTGCCGCCCTTTTCTGGATAATTACTGTCACAAAGAAAGTATTCACACTTACCTACTCCTAGAAATAAAACAGCATTTAAATGATTGATAAAAGTTTATTATCCATAAATGTAAAAGAACTAAACGTTTCTTTAAACATTAATATTTTTGATTTTCTTTGAATGGATGAAACCTTAAAGATACGCAAAAGATTCTGAGGAGAGTAAGGATACTAATATATATTCTTATTAAAATCAAAATCTCCGCTGAAAATTGCAGTTCCCACGGAATAGTTTTCAATTTGTATTGAATTGACTGTTGTCCACTCATTATTATCTATGTTAAGGCGTTCCACACTTGTAATCAATTCTGGGCTACGTCTTTCTCTACCGCCCAACACATAAATGTCTTTTGCGGCTATTACGGCCGAGAAACCATACCTATTAGACAACATGGAAGGAATAGGTTCCCATTTCTTCACCCGTATGTCGAGTCGTTTGCAGTCTTTTGCTCCAATGGCAAACAATGTTCGATCATATGAGATGAGTTCGTATTGACCAGATGGGCGTAGCATCTTATGTAAATTATACCATTTTCCATTTCTCGGGTCAAAGCGAAAAAGTGAATTACCATTAGATTTTTGAGTTAGACTGTATATACAATTTTCTGCCACTGTCGCCCGATTGGAATATAAAGTCATATCCACAGGGATATCCTGACACAAGTGCCATTTGTTAGTTGCAGGATCATAGCTTTCTACTATGAAATTGAACTTTCCACCAAGAACATAAATTAGACCATTGTACGTGCAAATGCCAAAATCTTCCAGATCATAATTCATTGGTGCTATGTAACTCCATCGCTTACTGGCAGGATCATAACATTCTGCCGTGTTCAATTCACTTCCACCCACTGAATAAACTACACCGTTGTAGGAAACAGCAGCATTTTCCTGTCTATTCTCATTCATACTTGGGATAGAAACCAGTTTGTTTTTGGAAATATCGTAGACTTCGCATTCGTTTTTGGCTGTCATATTGCGCCGTGAGCCGCCGACAAGAAACACACAAAAGCTTTCATTGCGATGTTTTGTTCCTGTTTGGCATCTCCCATGTAATTGACGTTGTTTTAAAGTTAAGGCTTTCATTACGAATTTA